TCTCTCTTTTTTCCTCTCTCATTTCCCCTACTTGTGCTTTCTGTCTCTCTAAATAAAATCTTTTTTAAAGATTAAAAAAAACAAAATGCTGTGCAAATGGTGACACTTTACAGGAGAAGTTGGTACAATGTTCAAGTGAAAGAAGCTTAAACCGAGAATTCGGGGAAGTACATTTAATGTTTACTGTGATGCTGTCTCTGAATGTCTTTTATATTTTGAAAAAAAAAATATGCTAAAAATTTCCTGTACACAAGGGAAGGATACATGGGAGAAAAGATCCTTGTGGTTTCTCAATAAGTATTAACAAATGTTTATATAATATCATTTTAATATCTAGTAGATGCTTATTGAATGGAACATTCCCCATTTATTCCCATATATTTTTCTAATATAATGGGAAATTGATTTATTTCTGAACTAGAAGATTCATAAATATTTTAATTTTCATGATCCAGAAAAATTTTTCTCAGCTGTCACGGTGAATTTTTTTTTTCTTCTGCCAATATGCTGCAGTGGTTAAATATGCAAGAGAAGGCTTTGTCATAATTTTAAAATATTGCTCTGATGAACTCAGCAAAATTTCACTCAAATTATGAACAGTGGCATTTCTCATGCTCTGTTTAGAAATAGTGAAGTGTGTTCTACAATCACAGAAAGTTAAAATAAAAGCAACCAAATAATTCACTGTAGTGAATACATTCTACCTATAATATGAATAGATGATTTTTTAAGACTTTATATTTAGCATTTATCATAAATGGCATTAACAGCGTTTATTAGTGTCCAGGATGTGTTTGGTTCTCCTGGTTTTCTTCAGATATTTATAACAACACCTTAAACTTATTGAATTATGTAGGGAAATTTTAATATAAGAACCTAAACTTTGGTGACTGAAATTTGATTTATATTTTATAGCACAATTAAGTTCTAGAATACTTAGCTTAAAAAATGTCCTTTGAAGTATATTGGGGTAAATGTCATTGGTAAAAACAGCTGAGCCATTCACCAAGATTTTTATAGAGATGACTGCCTGATTTTACTTTCACATATTTTTAGGGTGATGAATTTTAAAGACTAATTTTCATTTTTCGAAGGACAGGGTGTTTCATGTTTTGCAGAAAGTGCAGTGATTGACATTTTACCTGGTGAAACATCAGATATGGAAGAAAGCAACTTTTCTCCTAAAGCCACATTTCAGCATTTAAATCCAAAGTTATTTTGTCTTGACATCTTTGTATCTTTGCAGTTCAGTGACCTAGGAACAGTTGTGAAGAGCTGTGGAAGGATTTGGTGATGCTTGGGTCACATTGTACTTTCCATCCACCCTTACTAGTCTTACTGCCATTTTGTACCATTGCCTATTTGGGGAATAAGATGGTTACTTGTTCCTTCATTGGTCACCTGCAGTGAGTAAGATTGTTCTTTGCACAGATTTATTTCCTTTGTGTATTAATACATAATTTTTAAAAAAAGATTTATTTATCCATTTGAGAGAGAGACAAATCTCAAGTAGACTTACGCTAATCGCAGAGTCCCACACGGGGCTGGATCCCACAACCCTTAGGTTACAACCAGAACTGAAGCCAAGAGTCAGAGGCTTAACTGGCTGACCCACCTAGGTGCCCTAATATGTAATTTATAGCCTGCAACAGGACAATATTGAATTGATTAGCCAAACAGGGACACTTGAGGTGGGGGAGGGGGAAGGCATTCATTATTATGCTAGGACAACAGGCATAAATTGTGGCAACCCAGATATGTGGTTATCCTACCATAGAAGATTTTCTATTCCAGGAAAGTGTTTTCCAGGGAAGAATTAGGGTGCCCTTGGAAGTAGGTGGAAGGGTTTCCCGACCAAGTCCAAAACTAAGAATTTGGAACCTTTAAGCAAATTTCAGTGGTCAGATATGTACTTTGAGTCTTGTGTATTTCTGGACTCTACCAACTGACTGAGAAGAATTCTGAGGTCACTTAACAAGTGGCAAGGTTCATAGAGAACCAAGGAACTAGACCAGAGGATTTTCCGGATGCCTGGGGAGACCGTCACAGCTCGTCATTGGTGCTTAAGTGTATGTCAAAAAACAGAAGACACTCTTCTTTGAGGAGTGTCAGTGGTATCCTATGAACCCTGTAGGCAGAGCTGAGTAAAGAAGAACACATCCAGAAGCTGTAGATTTTCAGTTAGGTGTGTGGGTGAGTGGCAATTCCTTGCATATTGATTCACCATTAGGTGATACACAACATCTTTTCCTTATTATACTGTACTTAACTCATGTTTATTTTGGGGGAAATCCATTTAAGTGAGAATACAGTATTTGCTTATAAAGGAAAAATAATGTATCCATTATATGACTGTCTAAATCAGCATAGCTCTGAGATCTAAATGTTCCCATGTAGAGAAAATTTAAGTGGTAGTGTTAATGCATAGTGCACTTTAGTATTTTAAAAGTTGACATGTTAGTGATGAACTATCTGGTCATGAAACCAGGCATCCCTGTTTATAGAAATCTGAAGATCCTTTGATTATTAAGATATAGTGAGCTTTTGCAGTATACTGGTCAATTTGGTCATATTATTAATTTTAAAAATATTTATTATTTATAGAGCGAGCAATCTGGAGGAGGTGCAGAGGAAAGAGGGAGAGAGAGAAGCTCAAGCCGACTCTGAGCCCCTTAGATGCTTGGATTTGGTCATATTATTGAAAGTTGAAAATAATGATTAGGAGCAGTTTTAAGGTGACAGAATCTTTGGTTTCAGGAGGCTTCACAGTATGTAAGCTTTGGTGTCAGACATTCCAAAGCCTAGATGTTCCATTTACTAAATTTACCACAAACAAGTTGCCTAGAGCAGCTTTTCTCTTCGGGGGATGATTACCCTTACTGTGCTGGGATTTGAAAGGACTAATGGTAATATATCCAAAAAACCTGACACGTACTGGGAGCTTCTGGTAACATGTCTATTGTTCTTATTACTAAAGATAATAGTGTTCTGATCCTAGGGAGCTTGCTAAAACTTCAGGTTTGTTAAAACCTTGGGGGTATTCTAACCAAGAGTTATTTCATCTCCCTTCACCTGGTATTATAAAAAAGCTTATACATGGAAAGGAATTTGTGGAAATAAATTTTTATGTTACGTTAATTTATTCCCCAAGCTGTTATCTAAGATAGCCTGATACTCTGATTCTTACTTTAGCCAAAGGGAATTTAAGCACATCAAAACTGATGTCTCAAAAGCACAAATCCTATTGTTAGAATTTTTAGTTTATGGCCCAGTCTTGCTCCTTTTTTCTCGCAAATTTGGTGGCAAAGCTGGTAAGGATTCTGTGAGGCTAACTAACCCCAGGCACTGACTTAATCTAGAACTTATTTTAAGTTATTTCATTTTTTTTTCAAGTTTTTATATAAATTCTAGTCACTGTTCAGTGTTAAATTAGTTTCAGGTGTAGAATTTAGTGCTTCTTCAGTTACATACAACACCCAGGGCTCATCAGAAGTGCACGCCTTAATCTCCATCACCTGTTTAACACCCCTGCCCCCATAACCATGTTCTTTGTAGTTAAGTCTGTTTCCAGGTTTGCCTCTCTTTTTCCCCTCTCCCATATATTAATCTGTTTTGTTTCTTAAATTCTACGTATGAGTGAAATCATACAGTGCTTGTCTTTCTCTGATGGACTGACTTACTTCGCGTTATACTGTCTAGCTCTGTCCACGTTGTTGGATGAGAGAAAAAAATTTCATTCTTTTTTATGGCTGAGTAATATTCCATCACATATACCATCCCTTCTTTTTCCACTCATCAATCGATGGACAGTTGGGCTCTCTCTGTCGTTTGGCTATTGTTGATAATGCTGCTATGAACATCAAGGTACATGTATCCCTTCATATCCCTTGGGTAAATACCTCATAGTGCAATTGCTAGATCATAGAGTAGTTTGATTTTTAACTTCTTGAGGAACTTCCTTACTGGTTTCTTTTTTTTTTTTTTTAAGATTTTATTTATTTATTTGACAGATCACAAGGAGGCTGAGAGGCAGGCATAGAGAGAGAGAGGAGGAAGCAGGCTCCCTGCTGAGCAGAGAGCCCGATGCGGGGCTCGATCCCAGGACCCTGGGATCACGACCTGAGCTGAAGGCAGAGGCTTTAACCCACTGAGCCACCCAGGCGCCCCCTTACTGGTTTCTTTTGTGATCAATTTATTTTTTTATTTTTTTCCTTTAAAAATTTTTTTTATTAACATATAATGTATTATTAACCCCAGGGGTACAGGTTTGTGGATCACCAGGTTTACACACTTCACAGCACTCACCATAGCACATATGTTCCCCAATGTCCATAACCCCACCACTCTCTCCCTACCGCCCCACCCCCAGCAACCCTCAATTTGTTTTGTGACGTTAGGAGTCTTTTACGGTTTGTGATCAATTTAGACACTTAAGTATTTCCCAAATTCTTAGTTGTGTTTTAAGAGGGAAACAAAAGCAAAGTTCAAAATGTTCTAATTTACCTGCATTTCCAAAGTGGCTAGTCATTTTATTTATTTATTTACTTATTTTTGAGAAACTGTTAAAATAGCTTATCAGGAGGAATACCAAGGTGCCAACCTCAAACTCTTCAGGTGTCCAGAATCAATTCCCCTCTCAAATGGATCTTTTTAAAACTATGAACTCAGCAGGCGAATCCTGTTAGTCTTGGCCAATGCATCAGTTAGTCCCTTGAAGAGCTCTAGTTTCACCGGGCATGGCTAAGTACAGCAGAGATGGCCAGTCAGGATGAAGCATCCCACACTCGTAGTTAGAAGAATATAGAAGGACGCTGCCTCACACAACCCGTGGAAAACTTTGCGGCTGGGAAAAGTAAAACCGTTTTGGGAATCAGAACACATTTATTACAGAGTGGGATGATTGTTCTACCCTCCAAGGTTGATTGGCTCATGTGAAGTCAGTGTTTCAGGAATTAAATTTCTTGCTTAATTTCTCCTCACCTGTCTTCCATGTGGAACAGCAAATCCCCTCACGTGTGACTTTGAATCTGGGTTCTGCGGTTGGGAGCCATTGCTCACAGAAGATTCGCAATGGGAAATCATGAAAGGATTGGCCAGTGGAGAGAGCCACCTTCCCGATGATGATCATACAGCAAACACAAGTCATGGTAGGATATTTTCCTTTAAAAAAAAAAAAATTGGTTGCCTTTCTGTCATGTTGCAGAATGATGATCCTTTGTGTTTTCATTTCTAGCTATAGGCTACATACATGGAGCTCTGGTTTGTCTCGCTTGAAACTCTCCTGATCAACGTCATAATTTGAGTTGAGTTTCCTGAAAATAATACTGTTTTAATAACCAACATTTTTGAGGTCTAATTTTTTACAAGGTTGGGCTGAAAGCATGGTGAGAGGGGAAGTCTTCTGATAATTTTCTTTAGTTGCCAGAACTCATGTACAATGGGCTTGCTTTCTTTTTAGAGCAATCCAATTTTTGCAAAACAGAAAAAAAATAGTTTAATCTTTCTGGAAAAGAGAACAGAGGTTTAGTGCTATCTATAAAATAAATCGACAAATGCTTGAATGCAGTTTAATAACTCTTAAGTCTTTGTAACAATCTTCTTTCTCATGTATTTTTAACCGACGTTACAATTTGTCCATGTACTCTTAAAATGCAGCAGTCAAATGACACATAGCATTTCAATCCGGGTTTGTGAATCTCCAAGGAAAACAGAAGGGTTTTGTTCTACTTTTCCTTGTTTGTGTCCACAACATTGCCTAGGTACGTGAATATCGTATTAACTTTATAAAAACACAACTGCACTGTAGATCCTCTTTAAGCTCATATAACCCCCTTGGACATTATTTATTTCTCCTTTGAGATTTCCGAAGAGGTATGCCAGAGCTAACAGTGTTGACCATGTTTTAAATTATAGCCACTGGAAACTGGAGTCGGTGGGGGAACATATTAGGGGGTGGGAGGGAGACTCTAGCCATCCATCTGTTGTCTAAAACTATAAACCCAGCTTATTTAACAGTGGAGTAAGGTCCTACTTTTTCTTTTCATGCCAGTGAACCTTATTTTTGCTTTCAGATTCTGGAGGATTAAAGTTCGAAACAGGACTAATGATGGGAGCTCTAAGTTAACAGCCCATTTTCTTCAAGCTCATATAATGTTTCTTTTTCTGTTCTAAAACCATTGTCTGAGTACATATCCTGTACTACACCTGGGGTACACAGATGGAAGCCATGCTCCCTGCCTCTGGGGTGGTCTGAAGTCTAGTGACTGAAGCCAATAGGTGAGGATTTGCACTAAGATATAATAAATGTTTTATACGAGATGGAGAGTGACTCAGTGGAATCAAAAGGCCTTCCTGGAGGAGGTGACTCCAGAACTGAGCACTGAAGGGAGAGTTGCCAGAAAGGCTGAAGTAAGGAGTGTCAAGGGAGGTGTTCTAACTGACGGAATATCCTGGAAGAGGATGGGAGAGATGTAGGTGGTTCCAGCTGAGTGATGTGTATGTCTGGGCAGAGTATAGAAAAGATGAAGTAGCCAAGGAAAGAGGGGGGTTATGGAGTGCTTAGGAATTTGAAATCTCTCTGGAGGCCCATGGTAACCATTCTATGAAAGCACGTGACCCATTAGTTTTATTCTAAAAGGCTGAGATGCAACACTTTTCTGTAACACTGAGTGGCTTGTTGATTACCCTTTAAAGGAAGCTCCGTGGTGGTTCAGAGGCTGGAATGTGGCCTCGCTAGATAGAGGCTGTAATTGGGAAGCTTTAAGAACTATCTGGGAAGGGCGAGACATACTGAGGCCTCTGGCCATCTTATTGGGGGCTCGCCTGTCGGTGTGTTCAGTCTGACTCTGTGCCTGGGTCTCCGGGGGAGATGGGCTTGCTGTTTCGGGAGGCGTGGAGCTCTGCCATGTACGAAATGGTGCTTTTCTACTTTTCAACTCATAAGCCGCTCACATGGTGCGTGGGGTGGCCTTGGGTGACCTCTTTGAGAGCAGGGTGGCAGAGATCCCTGTTTGCCCAAGGGTAAGTCAGGATGTTGTTGACACTGCACAAATTCATTAAATGCCTTTGTGCCCCATTTTTTTTTTTCAGCTAGAAAATAGGTAAAAATCAAAATATCTTTCACGTAAAATTATTATGAGGATTAAATGAAGTAATACCTGTTAAGGCTTTTCATATGGTAAAAGCCCACTAAATGTGACTGTCTGTTGTCTGTTCGTTCTAGTAAGAAAACTAGGGATACCACCAGGGCTGTGATAATAAGAAAACATTTATTAGTAATCTTCAGACATCGTGTAATTACCACTTAATTATGATTTATGCCAAAAAGAGATTCTAAAAGTTCTCTTTTGTTAAATATTGAAGGACCCATTTTTCTTTTTCTGTGATCTAAACAATGCTCACAGATAACAATAAACCGATAGAACCGGAGGCAATTGTTATAATTGGAAGTGAGCGCAGCAAAGAAATTGCAGCAAGTCTCTCTGGAAAGGGCACATCAAGGAGTCCCTCTGCCATTAAGTCTGTCCTTCTTTACCTGTGATTGTCATTCTGACTTTAAGATGATCGCTAGTGGTCTTACATCACAAATGAGGAGGAGGAAAAATCGTACCAGGAAGACCTAGGAGAATTGAAGCGGAAGTTTCTGGGAGAAGGCAGCAGGCCCAGCCTCCCGGCTCCCACATCTAAGACCGTACGCTTACCTCCAGCCTATTATGTTCTTAGACCTTTGTGTTTGCGGATTACAGTGCTTGAGAAAACTATTTAATTTCTAGTATTTTTCCTCATATATGCACATTCCCATATGTAATTTTACATAAAAGATGAATGGCTTGACATTACATAGCTTTTCTTTTTGTGATAAAACCTTGATTTTCCTACCTCCCTTCTTTGCTTGGTTTTTATTTTCCAGTTCCTAGTTGTTACCTTATGAAACTTCCAAACAGACAACTCATGTTTATCCATTCTTATCTATGCTCATGTACACATATGTGTACGTAATGGATATGTATACATTCAAAATTGTAAGTATTCTGATGATGATTTATTTTACCGAAAAATGAGATCCTATTGTAACTACTGTATCTTACTTTACTAAAGATAGCTCATGGCAATTCCTCCAAGTCATCAATTATAGTCATTTTGAATTTTATTTTTTCTGTTAAATATATATTCATACATACATATATACACACACAAATACATGTGTATAGGCACACATGTATATATACACATATATGGGCAAACATACATATTTATTAGCAGTATGGCCACTCGCAAGGGTTTATTATGGGAGGGGCATTACAGGAATGACGGTGCTGTCTCCGGTATCAGGGACCCTGCCTTCCATGGCAACCCAGCCAGGTTTCCGAGGTGGCTGCCCATCTATTAAAGTATAATTTAAATGCAATAAAATTCAGCCTTTTTGGTGTACAGTTCACTCAGTTCACAGTTCACAAACCTATATAATTCTGTAACCATCAGAAAACTCAGGATATAAGCGTTCCATTCTCCCCCGATTCTATACCGCTTTGTAGTCAGTATCCATCTCATTTCCAGGTACCGGTATCCACTGATCTGATTTCTGTCCCTATAGTTTTGCCTTTTCCACAGTGTCCTATAAATTGGATCCTACAGTATGTAGCCTTTGGAGTCTGTCCTCTTTCAGTCAGCTGAATGGATTTGAGATTCAGCACATTGTTGATTGCAGCGGTAGTGTCTGTTTTGTTGTTGTTGTTTTTTTTTAACTGCTGAGTAGTATTCTATTGCATGGATGAAGCACGGTTTGTGATCTCTGATCAGTTGAAGGGTATTTGGGCTCTCTCTAAATGCTGTTTACAGATATTCTGTAAAATTAGCATACGGGCTTTTGTTTGGACATAGATTTTCATTTGACTTGCGTACTCTGTCCAGTCCCTCTGTACAATTAATTTTTTTCATTCTGGTGATGAGTGCAGGATTCTGCCCTCTGTGACCTCTGATCAGGAAGTGGTCCCTTTCAGAATTTTAAGGTCCAACCTCAGGGCGTTTCCTCGGGTACATGCACTGGTCAGTCCTCGAGTGAAGATTTATGGGAGGAGAAGACTCTGCAGATCTCTGGAACTCTGCCTTTGCAGCGCTGTCCTCCTGGAATGCTGCCTTCTGAACTCGAGGAGCGCCAAGTAGCATCTCTATCTTCTCAGTTTGAAGAGACCACTACTTATGCGGCAGCTAGAAACTCTGTAGGCAGTAAACTGGGGAAGTTGTAGGCCTTAGTACATTTGTTTTCCCTCTCTTAGAGATCGTTATCCAAGGATCTTATATTCTCATTGTCCTACATAAACCACTGTCTAATGCATAGTGTGTGTGTGTGTGTGTGTGTGTGTGTGTGTGTGTGTGTTTGCTAGTTCAGGAAGACTAAATCTTGTCCCTGATCACAACCTTGCCAAGAAGTAGAAGAAGCCTATTTTTTGTTTGTTAGTTTGCTTCATTTCTTTCATCCGGATGTGCCAAAATATCATGGCAATATCATGACAATGCTGCAAAATCCATTCTTTTACACACTTTCTTATATAGGATGCTTTCAGTTCTATGCAATAAATAACTATGAGTGAGACAACTATATTTTTACAGAAAGATGTATGTTCCCCCAAAATCTTAATACTTGAAATTCCATTAGGAAAATAAGAGTGCTTTTTTTCCCCCCATTTGTCAGCAAAGGCATTATATTCTCTTAAATTCTTCTAATCTGTGGGTATAAAATGATTGCTTACTTGTAGCCTTTATTTGTACTTTATTGAAAAATGATCTTTTCAAATGTTTCTAATTTCTCAGTTTACTTAAATCATCTTTAAGTTCTCTAAATAATATTCTGAACCTTTTAGTGTATAGATTTAAAAATATTTTGCAAATTTTTTAGGTTTTTATATGTTTGCAACTATTTTAAGTTATATTTTAAATACTTTTGTGTGTTGCTGGTGTGTAGAAATGCAATTATATTTTTAAATATTGACTTTGTATCCAGTGACCTTGCTGATTTTATTTATTATAGCAAGTACACACACACACACACACACACACACACACACACACACAATTTTCTAGGTTCCCAATTATTTTCTCTTTAATAATGACAATTTTATTTCCTTATTTCTAAATCTTAAGCCTTCTGTTTTCTTTGTTTCATTATACTGGCTAGTAAATCTGGAAAAATGTTGAATATAGCTGGTGATAGCTGCTATACTTCTCTTGTTCTTATTTCAGAAGAAAACTGTCAATAATTCAAACTTAAGTGCTGTATTTGCTGAAAGATTGTTTGCTTTATTAGGTAAAGATGTTCCCTTCTATTCATAATGTGGTTTTCCTTGTGTGTGTATGTATATGAGTCTATGTTAAAATTTGTCAGATTTTTTTAGTATCATGATAATCATATGATGATCATATTTTTTGTTTGTTCATAAGGGGAATTTTTCAAATATTAAACCACCTTCGCATTCATGAGCCAGATCTCATTTGGTTGGTTTTGGTTATTGTATACATGATTTTTTATTCTATATAATAACTGTTTTATGATATTTATGGTATTTTTATTCTGTATGATACTGGCTTATGATTATCTGTATTCATTATAAAGTCTGATCTCTAGTGTTTTCACATCATGTAAGGAGTCCCTTCTAGACCATTGCATTAAAAGCAGGTGCATGCTTCATAAATGATGAGGTTGAGGCTTATGGACGGTTTAATACATGGAAGCTGACCCCCTCTTTCTTTAATTCTTATACTGTGTTAGTCATAAATTCTGATACTGTGTTAGCCCCTCTAGGGTTTGTGGAGTTTTGCAATATGAACAACTCAGCTTACCAGGAACCATCTCCTTGATATATTATAATTCCATAGTTCTCTTAACTAAGTACATTCTGCACAGCAAACTTATAAGAAGGTAAATCCAGAGACATTTTTCTAGAAGTCTTTGGGTCTAGGCTCAGAGTTCAGATTCTCTTTACCCCGCACTTATAAATATTAAGTCTGTGTTATTTGTTTTTATTATTTATTTTTCTAACTATTAAAGTTCTCTTAGGATTTTATTTAGCTTTCAGATTTTCACTAAATTAATATTTTTACAATATCTTTTCATCTAAAAACATGTTATCTCTTTCTATTTTACTCCTACATATTTTGTATTAATGTAATTGTGAAGAGGATATCTCTAACCATTTCTGTATCTAGGGTTTTATTGCTAAAGTTAAAAAAAAACTTAATCACATTTCTTTGTTTCCATTTACCTTATCAGATTTTCTTATTAATACTTATCATTATTTAACAATAGAAGCCTTGGGAGTTTCTACTTTTATGGTAATATTATTGGCAAAACATGAGAACTGTATTTCTATTTTCTATTATATTTGCTAAGTATGTTATTTTCTTGACTCACATTCACTAGGCCTATAAGATAATGTTAGTCTAAGGTAATTAATATTATCTGTGATTAATAGCGATAGAAATCTCTAGTTTCTCATTTTAATTAGAGTAGCTTTGTTGTTTGCCATTTAGGGTATTTGTTTTGGGGTTGATAATTGGTCTGCATTTAATTATTTACTTTTAATATTTTCTTAAGTTTTTTTAATTGTCAATGGCTATTTTTTCTACAGTCTTCTCAATATTTGTTGATCCGAGTCTGACTCTACCCTTTAATTTGTTGATCTGATCGACTGTGTTGATAGAGCAGCTAAATTAAACTCAGCTTCCATTCATGGAAAGCTCAGTTTGGTCAGGACATACAATTTTTTTTTTTTAAATTCTATTTTTTATAAACATATAATACATTTTTATCCCCAGGGGTACAGGTCTGTGAATTGCCAGGTTTACACACTTCACAGCACTCACCATAGCACATACCCTCCCCAATGTCCATAATCCCACCCCCCCTCCCAAGCCCCCTCCCCCCATTAACCCTCAGTTTGTTTTGTGAGATTAAGAGTCACTTATGGTTTGTCTCCCTCCCAATCCCATCTTGTTTTATTTACTCTTCTCCTACCCCCTTAACCCCCCGTGTTGCATCTCCTCTCCCTCATATCAGGGAGATCATATGATAGTTGTCTTTCTCCGATTGACTTATTTCGCTAAGCATGATACCCTCTAGTTCCATCCACGTCGTCGCAAATGGCAAGATTTCATTTCTTTTGATGGCTGCATAGTATTCCATTGTGTATATATACCACATCTTCTTTATCCATTCATCTGTTGATGGACATCTAGGTTCTTTCCATAGTTTGGCTATTGTAGACATTGCTGCTATAAACATTCGGGTGCACGTGCCCCTTTGGATCACTACGTTTGTATCTTTAGGGTAAATACCCAGCAGTGCAATTGCTGGGTCATAGGGTAGTTCTATTTTCAACAATTTGAGGAACCTCCGTGCTGTTTTCCAGAGTGGCTACACCAGCTTGCGTTTCCACCAACAGTATAGGAGGGTTCCCCTTTCTTTGCATCCTCGCCAGCATCTGTCATTTCCTGACTTGTTAATTTTAGCCATTCTGACTGGTGTGAGGTGGTATCTCATTGTGGTTTTGATTTGTATTTCCCTGATGCCGAGTGATGTGGAGCACTTTTTCATGTGTCTGTTGGCCATCTGGATGTCTTCTTTGCAGAAATGTCTGTTCATGAGGACATACAATTTTTTTGATAAGGATTTCAAATATAATTGATAACTTTTTAATTAGAATTTTGTATCTATGATCATGAGTGACATTGCAGTTTTTTTATTTTCCTATTTCTGTAACTTTTAAGTTAGAGATACCTGGCAGGGAGATATCTGAGTCAAGGAGTTCTTCATATTCTTTAAGACTCAAGATCCCTTGAATAATGTTACAAGTGTTCCTTAAAAATTAAGTAAAACTCAACTGTTTTGCCATATATGTGCAGTAGATTTTTTAAAATCACTTTTGTAGTCATTTTTGTGGTATACCCAATTTATTCAAACCTTTACTGCTTTTAGAATTTGGAGTTTTAGTTTATATGTCCCATCCTTTATTGACTGCTTGTTTGAAATTGTACATACTGTTTTTAAATGACCAGGGCACTAGGATCCTTGAATATTTGTTGATTTGTAGAATTTTGATTAGTCTTTTAAAAGTATTCAAGTGAATTTTAGTTGAACCTTTGAATTTTTAAGCTGAAACAATTTTTTCAAAATCCTCTTTTCCTATGCTATTCCTTTATAGGTGAAACAGAATTTAATGAGCTTATATAGTTTCTATCACTCTTGGTTTGGAGTTAGGGAATAATAGCTTTTATTCTTCCCTGTTGGTTTTGTGATGTTAAGGCCCATATAGAGGAGCTTGGCTGGCTCGTCAGTAGAGCATGTGACTCTTGGTCTCAGGGTTATGAGTTCAAACCCCATATTTAAAAAAAGAAAAAAAAAAAGTCCATATAAACTGGTTCTGTTTTTCTCATTCAGAGATGATACTGCTGATTTGCAACCTTGGTTGTTCGGTTAAACATGTGGCGGTAGCTATAAAATAATACAGTTTAATTCTGAAATCCTTTCCGTGTAGTCAACATTGACCAATATCTAGGAAAATCACCTTCTGAAAATGGTATTTTTCAGTCAAAATTGTCTGCTTTCCAAGTTGCCCATCACTTCGTGATTATCAAAGGGCAGGATCAGACCTTGACATTGTTCTGCATAGCCTTTCTTGTGAATTTTCAGTATTCGAGGAAGCCACCCCTGACAGCAGTTCAGAATGGGTGATCTTTTCAGCTGCTAAAAGATGTTATCCCCCTGTATGTTTGCCATGAGCGCATCCTTGGAGTTAAAATCTAAAAGCAGTTATTTTGTTAATGCTCAGATTAGATCTTTAATTAAGCTTTCATCCCCACTCGCACAGACAACAATGTCAAACATGTAAGCCCCAAGAGAAGCCCAGCTCATTCCACAGGCTTGCATCTTTCAGTCCTTTGTGAAGAAACTTAAAAATAATGCTCTCGTGAGAATTTCGTAAGGGCATGTTGACTATCTAATTGTAAGCTTAGAAGCTTCGTTTAATTTGATTACAGATTCTAATTATGACCCAAGTTAAGACAATAAACCTATTCGTTTAGGGGATTTAGATCAAGAGCTTGTTTTTATCAATTGGATTTTATCTTAGATACTTAATGTTATCCACATGAAAAAACTTGGTCATTTATTGAATTAAATGGTAAATAAGTAAAACATGTAATTTTCTTGATGTGATTGACAGTTGATTGTCTGCAAGGATAAGATGTTAGAGCAAAGGACTGCTAAATGTATAACAGAATTTGTATCCATGCGATTTTTACAAATTTATTTATTTATTTATTTCATAGGCTCATTCATTTATTTCTGGTCCCATCAATCTCCAAGAGTGGCCAAGCTTGGAAGTCCTGTTCTTACAAAAGCCCTCACTGCCTCTACCCCATGTCAGGTAACCAGTTACTGGAACTTCCATTGGCCATTCTGTGGTTGTAAACTGTTAGGTGTGGGTTACTTGGGCCAGTAAATGACTGCTATGTTTTACTGCCATTTCCATGATGAACTGAGAGATTTATATAGACTATCAACACGAAATGTCATGTCCTTCCAAAAGACCATTTGCAGCCTATAACTTAAATGGTTCTTTTGTGGGGCCTGTTAAAGAATATTTCTTTCATTTTGTATTCTTTCCAAACAGTCCTTCCAGTAATCCAAAGCTGTGGATACATGTTGCCAAAGCTGCTGATTGTTTTGGCCAACAGTGTTAATTGAGTAAAATAAAATAAGCCAAACAAGTGCTTGCTGAAAGGAAGATGAAAGGGCAAATAAAGAGAAAGAACTGTGTGCAGAAAAAATGACATTTTCTGAAATTTTATTTCTTCAGTTAGTCTTTGTATGCCGAGTAAACATAGAGCAGGCAATACGTGCTCAGTCCATTTCAACAGTGAGAGAGAGAAAAAGGCAGAGAAGGACTTCGGAGTCCAACAGACCTGGTTCCGATCTCCGTTCTGCCACAGACTCTATACTCTCTTCGAGACTCCATGTCCACACTGGAAGTGTAATATTAGAGTACCTTTTTTCACCTGGCTGTCAGGATTATCTGACAAAGTATCTGGAACATAGTAGGTGCTCACTAAACAGAATTCCTTTATTTTCCGTAGAACTAACACCTACACTTAGATGTTTCTGTTCAGCTTGCCTTTTCTATCCTTTTGAGCATTGCAGCAAGCCTCCAGGCCCTCAGGATTGCAGTTTAATTTTTTTAGTTATCAGAAGACCGTGCAGATCAATACCGCTGTACACCAAATTCATCTTCTGTAAATGTGGGGGTACAGCAGTTTATTCAGGCTTTCCTGCTGACAAATTACATATTGTCCAGAGGAATAAATCTCATTATGTATTCAGCTTGATATAAATCTGAATGGGAGTGCTCAGATCTCTTAATGGATTGTCCTCTCTCTCGTTTGTTTCCCTTGTTATTTCCTGCCCATTTCTCTGTGGGGATTACATGTAAAATAACTGCCTGGACTCCACTTCCACTTAGCCCACATGCATTCTACCTTCGCTTTGTTTAAATTACATCCCGTGTGATAGATACAGATTTTTTTTTTTTTTTTGAGAACTCCTGAGGCATTTACTCGCTCTGTAAAAGTACTTTACAAGCTTACTTAGCCTTAATTGAAGGTCATACACCAAAGGGATGGGGTCACCGTTGTTACATACATAAGGCATTGGATACTAAACAATAAAATGTATTAATTCTACTTGTTCTGCGGAGGTCTGAAAGCAAACATTAAGAGCTTATTGAAATTCCTGAGATTCAGTGAGAAATCATATACATTTTTTCTTTTGAAAGATTATCCACATTTTCCATTGATGTGTGCTGGTAGCCATTAATGTGTGATCATTGGGATTTTGTTTCAACAGATGGTTTGTTTCCACTTGGAGGTATTTTTCTCTGTGGTCGCTTAGGAGTTTAGCGCTTGTGGGGCCTCAGCGAAAGCCATGGACAGTTTGGACACTTGCTGATTTATTTCTCAGAACAAGTACTCAATCTCCTAAGGCCTCGAATGCTGAGTTAGTGGTTGTCTTGCTTTTTAGAAAAGTAAGAGTGTTTCAGGGAGCCATTCCAGACTGCTAGAAGAGGTTTGTTCCCCCCCACCCCCTTATCTGTATCTGCTTGAATGTTAGTACTTTTGAGTTAGAAGGATGGATATTTGGGTTACTTTATAATACTTTTTGGGCTAGGAAGTGGAACTAGACAGCTAGAGAAGGTTGTCTGTTGTCTGAGATACACATAGCTTAATGTCTTTCCCAAAGGGGTATTCTAAGAATATGGTATTACTTTTTTACAAGTCTGTGGTACTGTGTGATACTTTCTTTCATAAAAGTTACGGAATAAACAAACCAAATTCTTCTTGAGTTATCGGAAGTCCAGCCAATCTTCCTAATTGGAACATATTGATAATACTTATATTCGTGGAATAGCAGATGTTAGTCATTATAAAATGGTGAAGTTAGGCAGGGACATACCGAAGTTGTGTGCTTTGATATGATTAAAGTCTTCATTTTATGAAATTACATTTTTTCCCTACATAATCATATGAAGCTAATGCATTTCAGAACCTTTTTTTTTTTTAAAAAACTTTAAAACCAGGAAGCTTTCTTTTGAGTCTCCTTTTCTAACAACAGGCTAATAGAGTCATTTTGCATGAATTATCTTGTGTCTTATGTATAGCCAGCACATGGCATTAACACATGCAAACTTTCCTACACCCACTCCTTGCTTAAGATGCGGACTTTAATTTAAAGACTTCAAAAGTCCCTTCAGTCACTGTTGGAAACTTGGCTTTTTTCCGTGGAATAGCCAGGAGATAGGACAAACAGAACACATGGGAGCCAGAAGCTTCTATTTCTTATTTGTGTTGAAATGCTGTTACTGTTTTGAATTAACGAGGAAATATCAAATATGAAGGAGATTTATGGTAGGTATTAATACTTTCTGAGTTCTTCTATTTGAGTTACTATATTAAATTACTTTTGGGGCTTCACGATTAATTAAAGACAGGAAGATTGATATTACAAAGCTCCTGTTTTCGAAGCTGGTTTGCATACTTGTCTACTTTAAAAACATATTCCCATCTTGCTTTGCACTTGTTTTAATAGTCTTTAATTTTAAAAAAATCATAAAATTTTTTAAAAAGTGAATGAGGTTATCAGGGAAAAGATAGATGAAGCAAGAGATGGGTTGGTTTTACAAATGAAGCTTATTAGAGCCAGGCTACACATTTGAACTAAGTTTTCCAGCAACCAGTGGAAATGGATGAATCATCATTTGGTTTAGATCTAAGGCAGTAAAAATAAGAAAACAAAGCAAAAATAGTTCTTGTGAGAATTCTCTCCTGAGTGCATACAGTGATAACAATGTAAACATTCTTGCTCTGATTCGGCACACACATACTGCTTACCTGCTCTGTGCTGATCACAGCCCGCAATGCTGAGAATACAATAGGGACAACCGAAGTACGTTTGTCCTAATGAAATGTCGATTTTAGGGATTCTGATGGCAATTCAGTGGTTAAAGTGCTCTGAGAGAGTGGGTACAGGTAACAGTAATAATCTGCTTACAACAATTCTCTCAACGAATTTTGAAAGGCCATGTCTTATAATGTTCCCCAAGTGAACTCATGTCAATGAGAAATTTAGTAAAAAAAAAAAAAAAAAGAAACAAAAAATGATGGAGTGGGGCTTGCAATGGTGCAGTCACACTTTGTCCTCTGATTGTTTTGTTCAATCCAAGCGTAGACATTGAAGTAGGCATGGATTCTAGAGGAAGCAACAGTGTATGGGGGAAAGGCTGAGCTGTTACCCTCTCCATCTGCACTTGAGCAAAACACATGGAGGCTAATCATTTAAATGGAAATAACATTTTACTGAAGATTTGAAACTTCTAATTAAGCTTATTCAGATGGAGTATAGACAGGCAAACACATAATTATGACTAGGATTAGAGAAATCAGTATGGTAATGTGGAGGGTGTGTGTGATGAATGATCCCCACTCAACATGGACTTAGTCCCAGCTGAATTTTGAGGAGCTACATATATATCATCTTTTCTCTCTCTCTTTTTTTAAACTATTTTTTTCTACATCTTGAAGATAAAACAGGTATTGCACATACTAGACAGGGTCCTTTGTGAGGCAGAAAAAGCAGAAGTAGCTGAGCATTTGGAATACAGCTGAGAAAGAGCTTGAAGGTCTGGCCAAACAGTTCTGAGATAGGGGAGCAGTTGGAAAAAGGACTGTAGGAAAGTTGAGGAAAGATACAGAACCTTTGAAGAGTTAGAGTTGCAGCTGGACACAGACCAACATCGAATAAAATAGAAATAGGAAGAAATTATTTTCAACTTGTAAATAATGCCCTGGAAGGTCATTCACAGAGTTAAGTATCAGAGAGCCTAATTACTCCTTTGTAGACCTGGGCTCTCGCTCCTCTGGGACACGTCATGGGGCGATGTAGGAACAGAAGGTCAAGTGGTTTGACCAGGGCCATCACGCTTTCCAGGCTATTCACCTGTACTCAGAACTATTAGTATATCACCTGAAAAGCTGTCCTTCTGTAATAAAAATGAATTATTGGGTATTTTATTTTTTATTTTTATTTTTTAAAGATTTTATTTAGGGAGAGCACAGAGGGAGAGGGAGAAGGAGATATAGAAGCAGACTCCCCGCTGAGCAAGGAGCCTGATACAGGGCTTGATCCCAGGACCCTGGGATCATGACCTGTACTGAAGGCAGACACTTAATTGACTGAGCCATCCAGGAGCCCTGATTGGGTGTTTAAAAAAAAAAATAATAATGGAGTCAGAAAATACAGTTTAAACTAATAGAATAGTCTAAGCTTCATTTTCTTTTTCTCTCCAATTTGCAATTAAAGTAACTGCTTTGTGGGAAGCTTTTTTAACCACACAACATTGTTTTGATACAATAATTCATTGTCTGTATAAAACGTGTCTTAGTGAAAAACCAAAAGAAATAACACCAAGCCTTTAATATTAACATTGATCTGGCTGCTTTTTAATGAATCAGGTATGAATCACAAAAATAATTTCCTTTTGACTGGTAAGTGGTAAATACAATTTAAATGGTTGGTGTAATGTTAACATACCTGTTTTATAGTTCTGTGTAATAGAATTTTCTGCGATAATGGAAGTTTTTCTCTGCTGTGTCTAATATGGTAGCCACTAACTGCATATAGCTTTTGAGCACTTAATGTGTGATGAGTATAATTGAGGAACTGGATTTTTCATTTGGTTTCATTTTAATTAATTTACATGTAAATAGCCACACGATTATCATACCTTTGCCACTATACACATTATAGTTAATTGTTCCCTTTTCATTTCATTCTCCCCCCAAAAACTCTGGAGTCCCTAAAGACACCTAATACTTTGTACCTTTTCTGACCCGGAGCCGCTTCCTTCATGCTCTCTGGGAGAGTTTACAGGTGTTCACTCTCAGGGCTGATGCTAATAGTCCCACTCATCGCTCCCTTCTTCTTTTTTAAGAAACACCTATTAACTGAAAACCTATTAAACACAAACTGCTTTAATAGACTCTGAGGAATTCTTTTTTTTTTTTTTTTAAGATTTTATTTATTTATTTGACAGAGATCACAAGTAGGCAGAGAGGCAGGCAGAGAGAGAGAGAAGGGGAAGCAGTCTCCCCGCTGCCCAGAGAGCCCGATGTGGGGCTCGATCCCAGGACCCTGGGATCATGACCTGAGTCGAAGGCAGAGGCTTTAACCCACTGAGCCACCCAGGCACCCTCTCTGTGAGGAATTCTTGACACACCTCGTGTGCTTGGGTTCCTGGCTTCGCATTCTCTGGTGTGCGGCAGATCGAGAGCTGCAGAGGTTGCACACTTGACGAGAGTCTCTGTGAAACCACAGCTGTGTTAGTGACTTTGTTCAGTGAGTTCACCCTTACCAATATTAAATTTGAAAACAGCTAAGCTGAAGAGTTCTTAATGGTCTACGATGCCAACTCTGCTAACGCGGTAAATTAAATATAAATCTTAAGCTCTGAGCCCATTTAATATGGATCCCATTGGTATTTACTCTTAATACACTATTAAAATACATTAACACTGGTGATGTACTGAATGACAGTTTGACAGCTTGATAGTCTGATGGGGCTTGTGTATCTCTTGTACTACTAAGGTTAAAGCTCTGGTTTGCATATTTACAAGCTTGGAACGTGCTGAAACTCTAGCAGGGATCTAACATTTAATTCTGGTTGAGGAACCTAAATAATCCCTTCCCATAGGATCTAATCAGACACTTCCATTAGACTTTTCATTCCTCAATTACCTGTCTTGCTTATCAGAGTTTAGGGGAGCGTGTTAGTAAAGTCTAAAATGAAGCTGACAGAATTTTTTTGATGAAGTGGTGCCAGTTAAATAGATAGACTAAAAGAACATGTGCCACATTGGAACAGAGGATGTTTGCTCTTTTAAACTAGACAACGTTTTAAAAGTGCATCTAAAAAATTATTTGACTTCACGGGTGCCTGGGTGGCTCAGCCAGTTAAGTGTCTGACTCTTGATTCTGGCTCAGGTCATGATCTCAGGGTCATGAAATCAAACCCTTTGTTGGGCTCCATGCTCAGTGGGGAGTCTACTTGAGATCCTCTCCCTTTCTCTCTGCCCCACCTCCTGCTCACACTCTCTCTAAAATCTATTAATTAATTAATTGTGTTATTGATTGATTGTGTTACATTAGTCACCATAAAATGTGTCCTTAGTTTTTGATGTGGTGTTTCAAGATTCATTGTTTATGCACAATACCCCGTGCTCCATGCAATACCTGCCCTCCTTAATACCCACCACAAGGCTCACCCTCAGTTTGTTTCTCAGAGTCCACAAACTCTCATGGTTCGTCTCCCCTTCCAATTTCCCCCAATTCCCTTTTCCTTTCCTTCTCCTAATGTCTTCCTTGTTATTCCTTATGTTCCACGAGTAAGTGAAACCATATGATAATTGACTCTCTCTGCTTGACTTATTTCACTCAGCATAATCTCCTCCAATCCCATCCATGTTGATGCAAAAGTTGGGTGTTCATCCTTTCTGATGACCAAGTAATATCCCATTCTATATATGGACCACATTTTCTTTATCCATTCGTCTGTTGAAGGGCATCTCGATTCTTTCCACAGTTTGGCTCTTTTGAACATGGCTGCTATGAACTTTGGGGTACATATGGCCTTCTTTTCACTGCATCTGTGTCTTTGGGGTAAATACCAAGTAGTGTAGTTGCCGGGTCATAGGGTAGCTCCATTTTTAATTCTTTGCGGAACCTCCATACTGTTTTCCAAAGTGGCTGCACCAACTTACATTCCCACCAAAATGTAAGAGGGTTCCCCTTTCTCCACATCCTGTCCCAACATTTGCTGTTTCCTGCCTTGTTAATCTTTGCCATTCTAACTGGTGTGAGATGGTATCTCAATGTGGTTTTGACTTGAATCTCCCTGATGGCTAATGATGATGAACGTTTTTTCATGTGTCTGCTAGCCATTTGTATGTCTTCATTGGAGAAGTGTCTGTTCACGTCTTCCATCCATTTTTTGACATGATTATCTGTTTTCTGAGTATTGAGTTTGAGAAGTTCTTTATAGATATTGGATATCAGCCCTTTGTCTGTAGTGTCACTCGCAAATGTCTTCTCCCATTCCGTGGATTGCCTCTTTGTTTTGTTGACTGTTTCGTTTCCTATGCTGTGCAGTTCTTTAAAAAAAAAAGTTTTTTTGACTTGAATTTCCACCGAAATTGGTGCCAAGCATAAAATAAATGGGGAGACTGTAGATGCACTAATATCTGTCCATGTAACAAAACCATAGCAGTGAAAGAAAAAACCCCAAAAAATCTAAAATACAGTGCAAGTGAAAAGGAGTCACTTTGAATCCCAAGAAAAAGATTTTACTTCTGAGAGGCCTCATCTCTGAATGTTGTGTTTTCTTAGAGAGTCCTAATGCTGCACTTTTCAAAGACATCATGAGAAGAAAAAGAATTACTATGTGTCTGAACTTGTTTTTAAGGAGATTTTGTGGACATATTTTATAGAGTGAGTCATCCAGCCATTGAGGGAATGAATCCCTGCCTCACACAGTATCTGATACTTAGTAAATGCTCAGTAAATATTGCTTGAATAAATGAGACTCCTGAATTTCATGCTTTAGCTATTGCTGTCAGCACTTAAAATAATTCTTTACTTTTTTTTTTTAACTACATTTAGTTAAGTGCTCAAACACTTAGATTGTCATCCCTGATAATGACTAGGAGGTGAAATGATCACGCCCCCCCAAGGTTGTTTTTTTACTTAAATTATGAACCAACAGTTTTATATGAGCTCCCAAGTTCTTTGATAGTGTCCCCAAGAGAAGGAATTAATGAAAAGTATTCAGTACAGTTTTCTTTTACCTGAGAAAATATTTTTTCAGGAAAATATTATTATTTTTTGGTTTGGAGTTTGAGACGTCAAAGAGAATGTATAAGTGAAACCTGATTTTTGTACACTAAGAATATGTAACTCCCCAGATTTATAAGCAAGAGATTTATAACCATAGAAGGAAGGACCATAGAAACTAATGTGGAAGCAGACTGGTACCACCCGTGATAGTGTGGACAAATACATGTCCTCAGTGCTGACGTCCTATTTCTTTAGACTTCTTGATGGCATGTGTTAAAAATTCCAGTCAGTAGAGCCGCCTTGAGCCTTTTCTTTAAGGGGAGAATGCAAAAACAGACAAAAGACATATTTAGCGTATTCTGACTTGCATATTTGGAAAAAAAGAGACTTGAGATTTTATATATATATATATATATATATATATATATATATAATCTTTAATTTTTAAAAAATTTATTATTTAATCTTAAATATATATTTATTTATTTAAGATTTTATTTATTTATTTGAGAGAGAATGAGTGAGAGAGAGCATGAGAGAGGAGAAGGTCAGAGGGAGAAGCAGACTCCCCAAGGAGCTGGGAGCCCGATGCGGGACTCGATCCTGGAAGTCCAGGATCATGACCTGAGCTGAAGGCAGTCACTCAACCAACTGAGCCACCCAGGCACCCAAGATTATATTTAACAAAAGAAGAATGATTTGTGGTATTTTTAATTATAGAAAAGCTGTTGGAGACCGGCAAATGGAATATTCATGTCATTCAAAAACATTTCCAACAGGTGCGATTTTGGTATCGTTTGTCCCGGCATTCACATCTCTCGGTTTTTACAAGAACCTCCCTGGATGGGGATTTGCAAAAGCAAGGTGATCTCATTGGAATCTCCAAATTTCAGTGGACACAAGCAAAAATCAATCTCCTTGTGAAGGCTGGAGAATCTACTCTACCTTTTCAGGTAAGCAAGCACATAAGAAATGAATACAACTCAGCAGAAGATGCTAACTTAATACTATTTTTCTTAGAGAACAATGTAACACATATATAGCACATATGTCCCATAGATTTATCAGATATTGAAAAAAACAAGCACATTCACAGTCAGGGATGAGTACAGATGTTACATTGAGTGCTCAGAAATTATAATTTTTCACTTTAGAGTTCTGAATTTAATTATATAGAAGTAATTGCGTGGACACTTAGCAAAATTGGAGATAAGAATTGAATAGGAGGAAGAGAAAACAATTGAATAGGATTGCAGAGAGAAAAGTAATTTAATAAGAAAATATTTATTTTTTAAGTGAGGATGGCAGATTATATGAGATGGTGAAAAAACCTGGCTTGCACTATGCTTGCCTTTTAATTCTGATGCCTTATTTTCTGCTGCCCATTAATACTGAGATTTTGTATCAATCTTTTCTGTCATTTTCTTGGCTCATAATAAAAGAAAGCAACTGTAGATAATCAAATTGGTGCCCAAACTTCCACCCTCCTGGATATGGCTTCCCTCTGGATGACATTTGAAAAGAGAGATTTTAGAAACTAGATAGGATGATAGAATATAGCAAAAAACACAGCCTTTAGAGTTAGGTGGTCTGAGTTCTGATCTCTGCTCAGCTCATGGGTTACTAAGTGACTCCAAATTATATTTTTGAGCTTCACATTTCCCTATCTGTGAAAACCACAGAGATACTAAAAGCAATGCTTCAGGAGAGTCTGAGTATTAAAGATAAAACTAAAATGGTGGCCACAAACATGGGCTCTGGAGTCTGGGGTTCAAGCCAGGTGTGTGTCATCATTGGGAAATTGCTTAATCCCTATGCACTTATTACTTCTTCTGTTAAATAGGAGGTGAGGGTCATTGTTGGGGGTTAGGAGCCCTCATGGTAATGTTCCTCATTGGTCCTCATCTCTGAACAAGTTAAGATAAATATAGAAGTCAAAAACAACAAAATATTTTAGAGGAGATGCTTTTAGAATCTGCAGCCATACGCAGAATAAAGAGATTTATTCAGAAAGCAGTGAACTGTGCCAGAGAAATCCAGGACTCACATGTTGGGGGAAACCTATGACTATTAGCCAGAGCTGTTGTCAGAGTGTAAGTGTCCAAGAGTGGGAGTTGAAGGAGAGACCAACAGCATGAGTTTAGCACATACAGCTTATTCTTCTAACATCACTAATCAGTTATATCTTCTCGTCCATGGGAGAGAGTGAGGTCAATTATAGCAGTGTTTCTGCAGGGGTAAGTTCCTGCCCGTTGGAAGTAGGAGGAGTAGGGAATAAATATGGACTCCCGTCAGTATTCTTTTCTTTCTAGAACTGTTGTGAAGGTTGGAAGATTTATATATGTAAAGCACATATGTAAAGATATTCTGGCATAGAGTGAACACACAAAGTTAACTCTTATTATTGCTGTGATTATCAGTTGGACATTATCTGGGAATAGTAGACACTCAGTAAATATTAGTATTCTTTATTTTGAAAAGGAGTCTCCTCTTGACCAGAATTCTAGGCTTAGTGATTAGAAGCTATGTCACTCAGGTCTCTAAACTCCCTGATTTTCAAGGATCACATTTATGAGTGTGCTCCCATATCTAATGGACAAAAGTACTGTGAATCTAGTAACTCTTAATAGGAAAGCAGTAAAGGCCAGTTACGGGATTACATAAGTGCCAATCTCCATTACATGTGACAGGACAAAAACAATCAGAACAGTCTGTTCTCTTGTTTCATTTATTTATATTCTGTACAACATGATTTTCATTAGGTTTGCTTTTAGTTAGAATGAAACTTACCATGAAGATCTTTCTCAGTCCATTGTTAATTCCCATTACTGGGAATTAAACAGAATGTCCTTCTCCACACAAAAACCTGCATGTGAATAACGATTCATGATTTCCTTATGATTACCCAAACTTAGAAACATTCCAAGATGTTCTTCAGTAGGTGAATGGATAAATACACTGTGTTCCATCCAGACAATGAAATATCATTCCATGCTAAAAATAAATGAGCTATCAAGTCATGAAAAGACATGGGGGGTCCTCAGGTCCATATTACTAAGTGAGAGCAGCCAACCTGAAAAGGCTACTCTCTCCCTCAGTCCAACTATGTGGCATTCCAGAAAAGGCAAAACTAGGGAGACAATAAAAGATCAGTGGTTGCCAAAGGCTGGGGGTGCTGGGAGAGAGGAGGGATGAACAGATAGAGCAGAGAGGATTTTTAAGGCAGTAAAAATACTCTGTATGATAATATGATGATGGATAAATGTTATACATTGGTCCAAGTGCACAGAATGTTCAACATCAAGAAGGGACCATAATACAGACAGTGGACTTCGGGTGATTATGAGGTTCATCATCTATAATACATGTCCTACTGTGCTGGGAGATTGTTTGTTTGTTTTTTGTTTTTCTCAGAGGCTGGGGGGTGGAGGGAGAGGTAGAGAGAATCCTGAGCAGGCTTAAGCCTAGTGCACAGCCTGATGCGGGTCTTGATCTCACAACCCTGAGATCATGACCTGAGCCGAAATCAAGAGTCAGATGCTCAACCAGGGGAGCCACCCAGGCACCTTGGGAGATGTTGATAACGAGGAAGCTGTAGCATATGATGGGGCAGAAGGTACAGGAGAAAACTTCTCCTCAGTTTTGCAGTGAACCCAAAATTGCTCTAAAAGTCTTTTTTTTTTAGATTTTTTAAATTTATTTATTTGACAGACAGAGATCACAAGTAGGCAGAGAGGCAGGGAGAGAGAGAGAGAGAGAGGGAAGCCTGATGCGGGGCTCGATTCCAGGACCCTGAGGTCATGATCTGAGCCGAAGGCAGAGAGCCACCCAGGCACCCCGCTCTAAAAGTCTTAATGAAAAACAAAACTAAACCAGATTGTCTTCTGTTAGAACCAGTTATTTAAGAAACGTTTTGGGTTGAAACACATGCTGTTCCTTCCTGGGCCTGCAGGCCCTCATTAACGGATCACCATTACTGAAGGAATTGAGTGCAGTGCCCTTTTCTTTTCCCTTTAGCATTTCTTCTTCGGGGTTCTGTTCTGTGTTTTCCTTTGTTTTTCTGTGAAAAGTGAGCCTGATCTTTATTATCTGGGGCATATGAACTGATTTGTAGGGTGACTAGTGGTTTGATAGGATTTTGTAATTGGGCAGCAGTGGATTTGTGATGTTTTTCTGAATGGTTCCGCGTTCTTACTAGATCTTCTTTTGCCCCAGAGGACATTTTAGTCTCTGCCTCTGTCCTCCTTAATTCCGTTACTTGGCTACAGTATATTTGTTTTAGAAACTGCAAGTAGAAAAGAGTAAGAATTCCCTCAGATTTCATCATCAAGAAGCCCATTGTAGGTCCACAATCTCTAACCAACAATTTGGAAAGTTAAAATTTGGGGAATAGTAAGTTTTTGAAAAACAATTTGGAGGCAAAACTTAACCTCACCTGAACCTGTGTGAGGTGTTCAGGCCGCTTGTTCAGTGAGATGCTGGATTAGAGAGTGCCGCTTCTGGAATACACACGCTAAGTGTTAGGTGGACATTCTCAACTCTGAACTAGTCAAATTTCAAAACCCATACGGCCCCAAAGGCTTTGGGAAGGGATGAGGTCCCGTGTCCACATTCTGGAGTGAATCAGTCCTGAATTTATGCAGACACACACGTGTACACGCTACATAAATACACACAGTCACATGTATGCATGGTAGTATTTAATACATTATTACTACATATATATTAAATATTTCAAACAAGTAGAAAATACAGAGGCAACTCTCCTGTATTTGCACCTCAGAATGAACTGTGAGCATTCTGCTTGCTTATAACATGATACCTGTTTGCATATGAAGATACAACTTTTGTTCTCTTTGTACCCATTTCTATTCCTTTTCTTGTCCTCTGCTGGGAAAAAAAAAAAATTGCAGATCTTATGTTAGCTTTAGCCTGATTTCTGTAAATTCTTATTAAGAAACCTGGAGTTCTGCATGAGGATTCTAGCTAGAATTCTAGCTAGAGCAATTCTCCTTTATTCTTTTAGCCACAATTGCAACAGATACTCTACCTATAAATAGTCACTTTAGTTTTTTAAAATATTCAGATATTTAAAGTTTACATTCTTGGGAACGGGCTTCTTTGCCACTTTAGTAGACTGAATCCTTTAAGAGTTACCTGAGTCATCCCCGGACTGTCCTTCAAAGTGACTGAACTCTGAACGTACGTATACAGCGTCTCCCAGTCCACACACTGGAAACGAGAAAGGCATCAACCCGTATGACCTCTGTGTCCCCTTGTAGCCATGAACTCTTGATGCACTGTCATCCTTTTGATGTCTCTTGTAGACCTCCCAACAGAGTACAAATTGCTTTGAGTTTCTTAGGAAATAAACATCCTTAGGTAGGTAGGGCTTTTGTTCTCCCTGGTGGAAAAGGATAAGGCTTCCTCTTTATTCCATAAGAACAGCAAATTAACACCATTTCCATAGTGTCTCCCTTTCCTTTATGTTTTTTTATTGAAAGAATATAAGTCAAGTAGTTAATAGTATTCTTTTTAATCTGTTTTAACTTGGCTCGCTCATTGGATATGTTGAGTTTTTACAGAAAGGTACTCCTTTACAATTTCTTCTTCCTCTAACTGCTGTTCTTAGTTTTACTATCTAAAGGTGGTTCTTTTTCTGAATACTGTCCATTGATTTCCAGCTGATGTACTTTTTTCAGGTTTCCTATTAATATGTAATTGTATCATATTTTAGACTTCATTTTGAAATGACCCTTTTGTGAAATTTTCCACAATGATTGATACCGTGTTCATTCTTTATCAGTCAATGATATAAATCAATAACAATTTCCTGACATTATTTGAAGATTCAGTGAAGGGCAAGATTTATAATACAATAGTAAAAGCTGGTGTAGTCTCTATGAAGTTACAACCTCCTCAGCCTTCTTAATTTAGGGCTGCACTGAATATTGTTCTACCAGACAGCTCTGGTCTATAGCATCTGCTAAAGGCCAGTTAGCTTTTTATTTTATTCTAGCAGTGCAATATAGCCTAATCCTTAATGGCTCTGGTTACATATCTCGTTTATGAGATAGATGACCTTTAACCAGTTACTTCACCTCTGAAGCTTCTGTTTCTTTTGCTTTAACATGAGAATGAAAATAGCACATCTTCACAGGGTTAGAACAAATGAACGTGCTTCGTATAGCAGTAACCTTTAAATAATGTTTGTCGTCGCTCTTATTATTGATACCATCATTCAAAAATTACTATATTCCTATTTATCTTATATTATCTACTTTCCCCATTGCCTCTTAGATTTCTTTTTTTTTGTTGTTGTTGCTGTTCTTACTCCTTTTTTTAAAAAACAAGATATCAAATAGCCAAAATCTAAATGTGCTAGTTGAGTATTTCTCTGGAAAGGCTTACCTTGGTTTTTCAGATATAAAAATCACTGGAATATAAGCAACATTTCTTTAAGTTGTTTGGTTCCTGAAAGCAAAAACCAGAAATGATTTTGCTTTTTCGGGGAGTAACATGATATCACTGAATAAAACAAATATCAGCAAGATCCTGAGCAGTAGTTTTAGAAGGGAGAGACTTCTGCATATAACTTAGAATTTAAATTCTCAGATTTTCTTGAGAATCTTAAAAAATGACATTTTCACTTCTCCTTCATTTGTGGTTGAAATACCCGTGGTTGAAACATTTCTTCTGCGTGAACTCTTTCTCACCTACTGATTATTAATTGGTCCTGTATTTCCCGAAGGAAGACTGCCTTTGGTCACAAATCAAAGGATCGACTTAGTTGAAACAAGCAATAAAAAACAGAAATAGCCAAGATGATTCTGGAATCATTTGATGGTATTATTTACAGATATAAGATACATTTTTAAAGGAGGTGACCATTTTACTTTTTAAATTTGGAAGACTTTAATTCATGGTAGAGTTATAATTTTTCATTTTAGAATTCTGAATTTAATAATATGGAAGTAAATAAGGTGTACATGACCCAATGTGATTTTTTTATTTGGCTTTGGATGTAGTTTTATATTAACATTTTAATATGAATATCTGAAAGTCTAGTGGTTCCCTTCAGACAAAATGATATAACCATATTTTACAGACCTATTCCACAATTCTATTTCAACTTCTGCCAGGGTCCCAACCACTTCAGGTACTTCTTTACTTTTTTTTTTTTTTTTAAGATTTTATTTATTTATTTGACAGAGAGAGAGATCACAAGTAGGCAGAGAGGCAGACAGAAAGAGAGGGAGAAGCAGGCTCCCCGTGCAGCAGAGAGCCTGATGCGGGGCTTGATTCTAGGACCCTGAGATCATGACCTGAGCTGAAGGCAGAGGCTTAACTCACTGAGCCACCCAGGTGCCCCATGTACCTACCTCTTTAGCTGCACAGAGAAGTGCCCCAAGCATTCTTTTCCCCCCACTCTTTTTAGAAGTTGTTTAGGGCTTCCAATATGGTGGTTAATAAAGGCTTGTCTAATGAGTCTGAAGAATTAAGCATTTGTATTTTAATTGACTTCAGTCAAGGATGATTTCTAGTAATGGATGAAAGGAAAAATCTTTTAAAATTAAAGCTGTCCAGAATAGATTACTATAACTTAATGGTGCTAATAAGCATAATATTTTTTTTCAATTACAGTGTCTGTAGATACTTTGTCAAAATCCTTCCCTAAAAGCTATTGTTATTTTCTGCCTTATGTTTGAAGACCAAGTGCCTTAGTTGGTAAAACTCTACAAAAAAAAAGTTCTAATAAAAATTTTAAAAATCATTAAAATTATATATATATCTCATAAAAAGTTGCAGATAAGTCAGTAGTCTCTCCTAACCTCTTTCACCTCTTATTATAGTCTGTATCTTGAGGTTAGCATAGACATTAGTTCATTTTTACTTCTGAACCCTATTCTATTTATGTAATGTGTATGTATGTACCACTATATCTAGAAATCGAAACCATTGTGTTTTTAGCCTAAGTAGTATCTGATCGTAAACCTTTTTTCTGTAATTTTCCACTCAGAAACACATATTGAGGTTCTGTCCGTATTAGCAAATAGAGGTATTATTTTTAACTGGCATGGTTACCCATCATCTGTATAACTATTTTTTTGATTGATGTTTAAATTGTTTCCATTTATTTGCTATTGAAACCAACATTGAAGTAAACATTCTGGACAGGTTTTCACATACATGCTGATGAATGTGTCTCTAGCATAAATGCTGAGAAGTGGGTTTAATTTTTGTAGTTTGTGCTATTTTTTTTTTTTTATTATACTGTTAGTCACCATACAGTACATCATTAGTTTTTGATGTAGCGTTCCATGATTCATTGTTTGCGTATAACACCCAGTGCTCCATGCAGTACGTGTCCTCCTTACTACCCATCACCGGGCTAACCCAACTGCCCACCCCTCACTCCTCAGTTTGTTTTCCGTAGTCCATAGTCTCTCATGGTTTATCTCCCTTCTGATTTCCCCCCCTTCATTCCCCCCCGCTTCATTTTCCCCTTCTTTCTCCTAATGTCCTCCATGCTATTTTTCTTTTTAATAGATAACATTGAATTGCCCTCCAACTGGGCTGCACCAGTTCTTGCTTTCAGGTTGTTGTATCTATTACTATTACTTCATTTATCGTTCTCTTAAAATCCTATACTCCTGTGTATGGGAGGAAAATATATTCTCTTATGGTTTCTGGCTGGGTCTGAAAATTAAACTAATAAAGCAGATTGAAGGAGAAAGTGTATAAAATTATTTAATACAAGTCTTACATGACAGTGGAGCCTTAATAAGGAAATAAAGACCAGTTAATAAAGAAACAGTTAATCCTGAGCCTTTTCATGCAATGTTCGATGAAGAACAGACAGTCATGGGAAGATATGATGGGGTAAAGAGTATGAGCGAAGTGTGATCAACTGGGAGAAACTTAGGCAGGTGAAGATTCAGATTCCTCTGCTTGTGTGTCCTTTTGTCCTCTGAAATAAGGATGCTCCTTCCCTCACACGAGGGAAGATCAGATAGTCCATCCTGCACATGCCCTTTCCTCAATTCCTCCAGCTTGAAATACTGATTATGCCAAGGTGCACCATATTTTGGGGATAGCATGTCTCAAAACCCATCATCCTATAGCACCGCTAGTGTTCTCGTCCATGTGCTGCTAAAGCAAGCGTTTCACCCAGAGTGTTCTAAAAGTACCATGCACCTCCCCGTCTCCTTGCTTTTGCTTGTAATGTTACCAGCTTCTCTAACAAAATCTGAAGTGGCAGTTACAGCTGAGAAATATTATTAGGTAATTAGTTATTGGTTGTTAGGTAATTCATATTTTTACCAACTTTTTTTTTTTCAACTTTTGTCTCACATTCTTGGCAGAAATAATGAAGTGTTTTTCTTCGATTCTCATAGTATCTTAAACATATCTCTTTGTATAGCACTTGTGATGTAGTTCAGCTGTTAATGCGTCATACCAAGTAAATCAAAAGATCTTTGGGATCTGAGGTCCTCTCTTTTAAGACCGAGATGCACCACCTACAGTGTCCTGGACAGGTGGTCCTGCTACATGTCTTTGACTTCAGGCAAAATTTCTCTCTCTTTCTCTCTTTTAAGATGGTAGATTAACAGTGTAATAATGTGATTAACAAGAAAGAAAACAAATTGTATCAGTCATTATTCAGAGTATTAGAATAAATTACACTGAAGTAGATGCCTCTGAGTGCTTTAACTTATGAATATTATTAAACACTGTATGTGATTATTGATTCTGTGCTTTCCCTCACCAAGTAGGTTTCTGTATATATACATAATATATATTAGTATTTAAATATTCTGATATGAAAATGAGTCATTGCCTCCAGCAGACCCATTATGAATGAATTCATATCTCAATTAAATTGAGTTGTAAACCACACAGTTGATTACCTCAAAGAGCTAATTTTAAATGCATATGACTCTTAATGGCTCCAATGGGAAGGCAACTCTTCAAGAGTGATGAATGTTTCAACTTTTAATTGAAACGAGGTTACCTAAGACATTAAGGTTACATAAGATGCTGTCAAAGATGCTGTGACTTTATAAATTTATAATTTGAACATGCTGGTCAAAACAGTCTTCTAAAATTAGATTGGAAGGTGGGACAGATGCAAATGAGCTTCTTCACACAAAGTATAGGATTGTAAGACATCTATGGTGTATTTTTAATAATTTGTTTTTCTGTAATTATAGTTGATTTTGGAAGCTACTGTTTTATCATCAAATGCTACTGTTGCTCTAGATGACATCAGTATATCCCAAGAATGTGAAATTTCCAATAAGTCACTTCCAGGTACCAGCATACTAAAGAAAAGTAAGTTTCTTCTTGCGGCCACTGAAGTTTTAAACATTGAAATAATGAGTTCCTCCTGATACCAAAATTTAAAATATATTAGAGTCCTTCAGTAATATAGTCCATGAATAGCTAATACCAGGATGTGGATTCTATCACATATCCTTGAAAACTAAAACATACTTAAAAATACATATATATGTGTATATATATATATATATATATATATATATATATATATATATATGAGATATATCACAGCTTAGGCCTTAGAGACTTTTCCAATAATATTCAATGCTTGTGGCTAAAATTGTCACAATTTCTTAGTTATAAGAAATATGAAAGAATTCTCATTATTTTGCATGTTTTAAAAACACTTCTATAAAAATTTAATTCTATTTTAATTTTATTTGGCACTTCTAATGAATATATAATGAAATTCATGTTCAGAATCACCTAGGAGTTCAAAAAACTTACTGTGTTTGGAAAAGTGACTTAAGGCCGGCCAAACATTTAAATCTTGATCCTAAAATTCTCTTTAAATTTAGAACATATATTTTCAAGTAACAGATGGAGTTTGGCCAGTTCTTTGACTAAATATTTTGTAGAGCATTTCAATTAAGAGGCCAAAAGATTGTCATAAAAATGAATCCCCGATAGTTAAATAGGCATTTTTGGAAAATCGAACCATTGTTTAGGTTCTGAGAATGGATTGTAACAGTGTGCACTGTGCCTGCAGTTACCTGTCATTTTAACACTGATTGTTCTTTCCCTTTGACCACTCCTACCCAGGAGTCTGTTAGTAAATAGACAATGTTAAAGATTTTGCCTGAAAATGATCACATTTTATTTTTCTTTATATACATGAATGTTACTTGCATTTAGAAATCAGGCACATTTTATAATCTGAAGTTACGTTTTATTAAAGAACATATGCAGTAAGTGGAAAAGTTGAATTCTTACATAAGCTAAATGCAGTAATTGAGGGTACTATAGCAAAAACAATTTTGGACTGAGAACTACATTGAAGAACTTCTAATTAGTAGTCTTTTAGTAAAGACCTCTTTCATTGGTGAGATTGTATAATTCTCTATACTAACTTTATATTGTCCTGTGTATTTACTTTAGTCAGAATATGTGTTCTGAATATAATAAACCGTTCTAAGCTCTGTGTGTGGTTCTGATAGACATTGGGGAATGCAAAGCAGCAGATTTAATGATTGATTTTTTTTTTAATTTAAATGAGTTTTTGAGGGTTAACCAGTGTTACCTTATTTCTGGTATTTAATTAAACATTTTCCTTCTCCTAATCAAATACTGCATCACCAGAATTGGAAGTTGACATTGAAGAGAATGTAACTGGAGGCAAGACTGTGGTTAAAAGTTTTAAATTATCACTAAAATCAACCTTAGCAGAAGTCTCTGAGAGTGCTTGATCTCATTTACAGAGAATTCTCTTCAGAAATTAAATCAAAACTCAATCTATGTGTGCTTTAATCCGAACTCCATCATAGTTGGGTAGAGCATAATTCTAATTAGACCAAAATTATATGAAGTTTTCCTGAAAGGTCAATTATTGTACACAAAAAGAGAGGGGAAAAAAAAAAAGCTTTCTTACTGTTTTTGCAAATTTGGCCAGTAGGTCATTATAAGATCTCCTTTGTAGAATTTAGTATTATCACCCAGCAGAAGTTTAGAATGGGACTGTAATAGGCTTTTAAAAAGTAAGCCAAATCCCACTGGTAATGAATTATGTTATACTTGTGGGGCAGAATGGCCAGAGATTCACCTAGATCCTGTGTTTGAATTAAAGCCTTTGAAGGCTTTAATCAGCATGCAAATGGCTGTAAGATCTTCAGTGCAATCCTAGTGCCTTCCTTATACATTTGAAGCACCATACACAGGATGAAAAGAGAAAACTACTCTGATTTGGTTTTTTGATCTAGCTTCTGTGTCTCTAACATATTTAAAAACTAGTGTTCATAAAATAATTACACATTCCGTTTATTGAAGGGGAACAGTATGTTTTATCTCCTCCATCTCTTAATTTTGAAGGTGGATTTCTGTCACGTGAAGATGCAGGCTATATTTCATCCAGCAGATTCCGTGATTTTCTATCTGACTGCTCAAATGGAACAGATGAAGCCAATTTTGGTGAGCCAGTACTTTAATTACTTAGTCCCTTTAGTCCTTAGTCATTGGCTAAAATTTATGTCCACAGTGGTCCCCCCCACCTTATCCACAGGGGATACATTCCAAGACCCCCAGTGGATGCCCAAAACCACAGATAGTACCAAATCCAATGTACTCTATGTTTATTCCTGTATATACATATCTGTGATAATGCTTGATTTATAAGTTAGGAATGGTAAGAAATTAACAACAATAATAGAACAATTATAACAGTGTACTGTAATAAAAGTTATGTGAATGTAGTCTGTTTCTCAGAATATCTCATTGTACTTACTCTTCCTGTGATGATGTGAGTTGATAAAATGCCTGCCTGATTAGATGAAGTGAGATAAACAATTAGTTATTGTGACACAGTGTTAGGCTACTGTTGACTTAAAAAAAAAAAAAAAAAAGAACTCCAGTATGTTAATGTACAGTGTTATATTAGTTTCAGGTGTACAATATAGCAATTGAACACTTACTTACAACACCCGGTGCTCATTAGGACAAGTGCACTCCTTAATTCCCATCACCTATTTCACTATCACTATTTCACTCCCCCCCATAACCATCAGTTCTCTGTAGTTGAGTGTGTTTCTTGTTTTGTCTCTTTCTATTTTTCCCTTTGTTCGTTTGTTTTGTTTCTTAAATTCCAAATATAAGTGAAATCATGTTATTTGTCTTTCTCTAATTGAATTGTTTTGCATAACATTATACTCTGTAGCTTTATCCATGTTATTGCAAATGCAAGATTTCATTCTTTTTTATGGCTGAATAATATTCTGTTAGTATCTCTAAACCACATCTTCTTTACTCCTCAATCGATGGATACTCGGGCTGCTTTCATAGCATGGCTATTGTAAATAATGCTGCTATAAACATATGGGTGCATATATTCCTTTACATTACTGTTTTTGTGTTCTTTGGGTAAATACCCAGTACTGGGATTACTGGATCATAGGGTAGTTCTATTTTTAGCTTTTTGAAGAACCTCCATATTGTTTTCCACAGTTGCTACAGGAGTTTGCATTCCTACCAACAGTGCACAAGGGTTCCTTTTTCTCTATGTCCTCATCAACATTTGTTTCCTGTGCTTTTGAGTTTAGCTATTCTGACAGATGTGAGGTGATACCTTGTAGTTTTGGTTTGTCCTTCCTTGATGATGAGAGAGATGTTGAGCATTATTCATGTACCTTTTGGCCAGCTGGATGTTGTCTTTGGAGAAATGTCTGTTCATGTCTTCTATCCATTTTTTAATTGGATTACTTTTTTTTTTTTTGGTATTGAGTGTAAGTTCTTTATGTATTTTGGATACTGACGCTTTATAAGATATGTCATGTGCAAATATTTTCTCCATTCAGTAGGTTACATGAAAAATAAGATGACACAGGGAATAAACGTAAGCAAAGAGGTAAAAGACCTGTACTCTAAAAACTCTAAAACACTGATGAAAGAAGTTAAAGACAACACAAAAAATGGAAGGACATCCTATGCTCATGGTTGGAAGAACAAATATTGTTGAAATGTCTGTAGTATCCAAAGCAATCTGTAGATTTAATACAATCCCTATGAAATACCAACAGCATTTTTCACAGAACTAGAATAAAAAATTCTAAAATTTATATGGAACCACTAAAGACCCCAAAGAGTCAAAGAAATTTTTAAAAAGAAAACTGAAAGTATAATTCCAGACTTCAAGTTATATTCAAAGCTATAGTAATCAAAACAGGATGCTACTGACACAAAAATAGACACATAGATCAATAGAACAGAGTAGAAAACCCAGAAATAAAGCAATGATTATATTGTCAATTAATCTTGAATAAAAGATGCAAGAATATTCAATGGGAAAAAGATAGTCTCTTCAACAAAGGGGATTGGGAAAACTGGTCAGCTATATGCAAATGAGTGAGACTGGAAAACTTGACCACTTTCTGATACCACACACAAAAATAAACTCAAAATGGATTAAAGTCATAAATGTGAGACCTGAAAGCATAAAAGTCCTAGAAGAGAGCACAAATTCTCTGATGTCTCTGGCATCAGCCAAAACAACATTTTTCTAGATATCTCTTCTGAAGCAAGGGAAATAAAAACAAAAATAAAGTAATGGGACAACATGAAAATAAAAAGCTTCTGTACAGTCAAGGAAACAATCAACAAAACTAAAAAGCAGCCTAGTATTGACCTTTTGACCATTCATCAGAGAGTAAGGATCATCTGCTCCCTCAGACAGTTGACCTTGGTTAACTGAAACCAGGGAGAGCAAAACCGCAGACAAGGGGGGACTACTGTACATATCTACTCTGAATATAAAGTACACACTACTCAAGTGAATATTTAATGAAGAGCACCAGAATGGAGACTGCTATAAAACTAAAATGACTTGCAGTTGAAAGCAAACCAGATTAGCTTTAAAACAGTAGCAGAAAAATGAAGATACCTCTTTCCTTCCATTTTGCTGTGTTGGAGTATAGAATTTAAAATAGATGCAATATAGAACTCAAAAGACAATAAGATTATATTATAAATATTCCTTTATTCTTTGTGGATATATAAGAATGCTTACTCTTATTCTAAACAATTGCCACCCAAGTACAACTAATGGCAGAAGACTATATAATACTTAAGAATGCTCCTTCAAACTATAGTGTACCAATAAATCAGTTGGTCATAAAACTATAGATCTTGGCTAGTTCGATATGTTTTTAAATTTTTTAGGGTTTCCTTTAAGTTTTTCCTTTCTGAAGGCAGTGTATTCATCCATTCTGCGTTACCCTTACATGGCTCTAAAGTTATCCTACCATACCTGGGAAAATATTAAAGAAGGAAAAGAAGGGGATGGTGTT